ACAATCATGTTAGAGGCATGTATCCAGCGTTCATTTTGTACCTTTATACCACATAAACAAGCGAAGAGACCATCAAATTGACATGAGAATAAGACATCAGGGCCCCCAACGAGCAAATTTCGACAAGCATTGAGACTAAAAGCGGAGAGGTATAGAGCGTGGCTAACCAATAGTCGGCTCTGCCGCAGTAGCCTAGCAATGACGGCACTCCAAGCTTGGCCAACTCTCGGGCACACCTCGGTCGGCGTGCTGGTTCGCTGGGATTTCCTTGGCAATTTTACCCATCGTGTACACATTCGGGTTAGCACCAAGGGGCCGTGAAAGCCTTCAAGTTACAAGTCAGACACATGGTAGTTGCCCTGATCGCCTGTGGTTGGTTGAACTCGACAATGGCGGCACGGATTCCCTTGAATTGAGTCATGCTTGAATGTCGACGGGCAAAGGTGGGGCAAACAACCCCGGGTTATCGATTCTGGACTGGTTCGGGAACATTAGTGGCAAGGTCGTATTTTCAAACCCTTTGTAAACGTAAAGTAGCCGTGTGTGCCCACCATTACCCACCGTATGAGTCCACGCTTATACCCGACCTATATGAACCCATAGTCACTACTGCGACGGAATATCCCCCCCTAGTATTTAGCCTTGCCCATCCATGTGTGTAAAATGATTGGTCTTACGTTAGCAAAAGGATTGCCCCTGCTGTGAATCGAACACAGGCTGCTTCGGCGTCGCCTTGCACGTAATCATTACGTAAGCACCCGCCACAACGAAGCGTCATAACCACTAGACCACAGGAGCTTGTACAATACCACCTTGGCTTGGATTTAATGCACCTGTTCGGTGGAAGCCCGCTATACTTTGCGCACTTGTAAGAGCCAACCAATACCATAGGCGATGCGAACATGAGATCCGCCTAAATTTCGTTCTTTTGCTTAATTAGTGATATTGGTGCCGACTCCAGATGGCTGGATTCCGCTGACCCAGCGCCAACGAGACCTCACACTCAAGCCCACATACGCTCCAGTTGCTGCCACCGTATCACCATATCCAGAAGCTACTTCACCCCAACCCATCATAGCCTCGATACTCCAACCCTAGGGCCCAGCTCTGCAATGGCGGCTCAATTTTTAAGAACGTAATTCCAACTTGTGACACGGAATTTGTCTATGCCTTCCAAGTCTGTTGATTCCTCGTTGGATTCAGTGGGGCATTCTTCTGTCGTGGTAGAGTCGAGAAGAATTCGAATATAGGTACAGGGGTGTATGTTTGCTATGTATAGATTTCGATTAAGCTTTGGGTCGCCGCTCGGATTGCGTCGGGGTATACGTAGCAAGAAGTGTGTCGGGGAAGAAGGAATGCTAATAGTTTCGGGTCGATCGTATGGCGTTGATCTCGGTCAGGCCTCTCAGAATAACACGCACCAGCCGTCCCGTGTGACTCTCATAAAGGATGTCATTTTTCACTTTGCCTCGTACAGTGCCTTGGAAAGTTTTAAATACTCGGGACCCCCAAACCCGCCTCGAGGCAGCTTTCCATACGCTTCTTCCCTCTCGGAAAGGGAGAGTGTTGTCCCCGTGCGGACGTATGGTTTCAACTGCAGGGGAAAAGCAGAGTTGGAGGAGTAGAAGCAAATGATTTGAGACCGCTTACGGGCGAATTGATGATATCCTGTATGGGCGGCGCCACAAAATACCGGGCCATTTCATCCACCACTCTAAATTTTGCCTTGCCCCCTACCACATGTTTTCCGGGTGCACCGGTGCGATGTCCGCCAGGCAAGTACGCCGCCCGAGTTCCTGATTACCTACGTCAGGATAGTCCACACATAATCGCGAGTAACTGACCCTTGTAAAAGTCCTTGTTCCCGTGCTTGGGAGTCAACGGCAGGCGGGAGGCTTTGCTGAGCACCACACGAGTTGGGATCATCGTGTGCGAGTCAGAATAGAATTTGCAATCGCCCGGATGAGACATAATAATTTGCAATGACGATGGGGGTTGGTAAGCGCGGGATGGGATGCTGTTCCCCCAAACTTATCCTCGATCCTAGGCAGTCGGGCAGGTCGTGGGTGTGTATATTCTCGTATATTACTTGTGAACTCTGCCCTCGCTCGTTATATTTTCTTTTGCCACCGGCTTCGGATTTAATGAATGCCGCGAACCTGTTCGATCGGAACCCCCTGCATGTTGCGCATCTCCAAGGACCGGTTGATAGGCTACATGACACAAATCTGAGAGCGATATACGAACGGGCTGGAAAGATGTAAGTTTCAGCCGTTTATTTTCTAGTCTGCTAATATATTCAACTGGTTGCAGCTTGCTGATCCAACGATGGAAAGACTTGACCGCCTCAGCCCCCCATGCCTTTCTGCTCTTCGAGTCTGAACAAGCGGCAAACAGCTGTTGCAACCGTATTGGCGCACCCCGTATTACAACACCCAATAATACCCACCAGTCAATCACAGCCTCGATTCTCCAACCCAACCAACCCAACCACCCGGCTCTGCAGCAATGGCTCAGCTCGCAGAACATGGCCCCGAGTTACGTCATCAAGAATCCTCCTACACCTCCCAAGGCTGCTGGGTTCCCATTGACTTGTTTGAGGGTGTTGGGCGAGGATTCCAGTGAGGTTGTTGCCAAACTGAAAGAGTTCAAGTGTGGACCTGGGTGGTGGCGATTTGTTGCGCAAATGTATGTTGCCAATAAGCTCTGGGCCGCTGCCCGGATGGTGTTAAAGTGCGAAAAGGAGCCTGATGATGATGTTATCGATATTTCTGTGAGTTCCGCCTTTTCGTCGGTCTGATCGAGGACTGATGTATGTAGGACGATTCGGCACATGAACACGCGAGTGACGATGATCAGCCTGGTAAGTCCCTGTTCCTTCCTAACAAGTTCCTACTAACGCGGAAAAAGACGTATCGAAAACGCAAAAACCCTCCAAACCCTCGGCGTCAAAGAATGTGTGGTTACCGAGTAAGAGAGATGTCACCGGGGCTCGAGCAAAACTTGGGGTCGTCACGTCCAAGCCTGGAGCAGCCGCTGCTAAACCCGGGGTTATTGCAACTGTGAGTACTAATATATGGGTTGAGGGTGAGTGGATTAACGATATGAATAGAAGGCTACCAAGTCAGCTGGCTCGGAAGCTCCACCGTTTGTTCCTACGCCTATGAGCGAGAGTCCTTCGGCTGATGCGGCACCCCATGCAAGTGCGGATGTGCCACCGACCGTGCCTGCCACGCTTCCAATGTCGTCTGGGTCGGGCGCTAAACCCCCTATACCCTCGAGTTCGAGTGGATCGGCAGCAGCCGGGACAAGTGCGGCGGCAAAGAACTCGAATGCCACCCCACAGCCGAGTGGGGCCAAGTCGAATTCAGAGTCAACACCTTCAAAACCCTCTTCGTCTACTCGGGCTCAACTTTCTGCCAAACCACCCTCCCATCCTCCCGCGAAACCAACTTTTACTCGACCAATATCCCCAATACTACTTTCCTCTCTACCAACAAACCCGGCCCCCCAACCGGTGAATCCGACCCCATCCCAGGCCTCGTCTTCTCGGTCCATAAAACCAAAGCCCACCCCCTCAGCCTCTACGTTGGATAAACCTATTCCTAGCATTCCCAAGCCGAACAGCCCAGACACGAGTCCCGGGACTTCCGCGGAAACCACGGCGGGGAGTTCCAAGGCTACTCCCCCAAAAGTCGCCGGTCCACAGGCTGCGAGTTCAAAATCTGCCACACCTCCCATCGGCCCAAAGCTCGCCACACCTCCTGTGGAGCCTATAGGGTCAAAGTCCACTACGCCACCCACAGGTCCAAGGGAATCTATGCCCCCCACAGGCCCAAAATCGATGACCCCGTCCGCTGGACCCAGACCGACCACACCGAGGGTAAACACGCCTCCGATAGGACCCAAAGCCCTCGCTTCTGCGCAAAAGGCGCCTCCGACGGGTCCGAGAGCGCTCATGAATGCTTTGGGCCCAAACTCTTCGAGCTCTTCGGGCACTAGTGCCGCCACGACTCCTGCTCCCGCTCCCCCGAGTTCTGGAGCTGCTTCGACTCCTGGTGCCAATGGAACTGCTTCGGCCTCCAACTTTGCCACGCCTCAACCGGCCGAGCGCTCAACGTCCGCTCCACTGAAGGCACGTACGAGCCTAGGTAAGAAGTTTATCGCTAATTGTATTATGGCAATATTGATTTGAGTTATAGGGGAAGTACCTCCTCCTCAGGCAGCCCCTCAGGTAAAGAAAGAGCCCGAGCCAGTGGTTTTGTCCGGGGACCGGCCCTCGCGAGATACGCCCGTTGTTACTATTTCGCGGGGTTCGCCCACCGCTCTTGCAAAAGACCCGCCAGCACGAGAGGGACCATCTGGCCCTGCTACTCGGGATACGTCTTCCACTCCGGCTATACAGAACCCACCCTCTATTCCAGCTACGCAGAACCCACCCCCTACTCAAGTCACCCAGGCTTCCCCATCCACTGAAGATTCACCGGTCGTTCCCATGGAAGAAGACTCTTTCGCACCTACAGAGGGGGACTCTTCATTCGGTGTACCCATTGAAGATTTGTTCCCCAACTCTATCGCGCCGACAGATACCTCATCCGTTATACCCCCGCAAGATTTACCGTCTTTTGTCCCCACACAAAATCCCTCGGCTGCGCCTTTACAAGATTCTGCCCCACCTGCGAAAGACCCACCTTCATCCGCGTTCGCCGCCCTATCCATCACGCCCACTCCGTCACATCGCGCCTCGGTTCGAACTCCCGTCCGTTCCCCTTCCCGCGAGCCACTCTCATTCTTTGGGATCTCAAGCTCTCCAAGTTCCTTACCCGTTGCCCTCCCCTCGACTTCATCCTCCCCAACCAAGCGTAAATCCGAGACGATCGAGACCCGCCTGATCAAGCGCCGCCGCCACCGTACATCATCCTCCAAATCCGAGGCTTCCGAACCTATCATTGTCGAGCCAGAATTTTCGGCTCTAGAGGCCGAAAAAGCTCGTGCGGCTGAGCAACAAGCCGAAGAGGACCGAGTGAGGGAGTTGCTTGGTGTTGACATGAGCGATTATGCAGAGAGCGTAATGGCACGGCTTTCTGGGTCCGACAAGGCTAGTAGCCGCGGGATCCTTTCTGGTTCGGACAAGTCCAAGAGTTCTCCGTTGCAAGAAACGCACTCGGAGTCGGATTTGGATTTGGAGCTTAGGTCGTTAAGAGCTACGAGGGATGAGAATGAAGCTCTCAAGATGAAGATCAGAGTCCTTGAGATGACGCTCCCGACTGCCGAGTCGGTAAAGAACGAACTGTACACCGAGCGCAAAGCCAAGAGTCTGTTGATGGAGGAGCTGGCAATCGAGAGGTCGCTCCTGACACAGAGCGAGGCGCTAAGGAAACAATCGGACGCTACGCGTGAGGGACTCCAGCAACGGATCAAGCAGCTTGAAGAACGACTGTCCGAGTCATCTGGGGCGCTTGAAAAGGCAAGGGAGGCGGCTCACGTCGCGGCCGAACAGAGGCGCAAGGCGGAAGAGGCGAGTTCAGCGGCTGAAGCAGAACGCACGAAACTCAGGGCATTGTTGGATGCTGAGAGGGATCTCGTCAGTCGGGAGAGGGCAGCGTTGGCCGAAGAGAGTAGTATCAAGGCGGAAGCGCAAGCCAAGTTGGCTGCTACTGAAGCTCGACTCGCTGCAGAACAGAGGCAGTACACCGAGGCAAGAGCTCAAGCAGACAAGGAGCGCGTAGAGGCCAAGAACTTTTTGGATGCCGAAAAAGCCATTGTCAGTGCTCAAGAAGCCAAGCTCGAAAGGGAAA